AACTTACCATGCTAAGGGCAAAAGTATGGCTAGTCCTACTCAAATAGAAGTTGGTAAAGACACGTCAAGTCCGTTGATAGCTGAGGGTTTGCTAAAAATGCTAAGTCCTTATTATTAATTGTGCAAACAAAAGAAAAATATAAATAATTGATGGATAAAGTGGTGATTTTATTCATGAGATAATCAAGACAGAGACAAGAGTTGGGCTACATAATTTGAGCTTAGAAGAATTGAACAGCATTATGGAGTTCTTTTGCATGTTCGTCCAACAACCTCTTATGCTCCGCTTCGGTCTCTTCCAACGCTTTCTTTTGCAACTTATCATTAGAAGAAACCATCATGTTGTTCACGGTAATTCATCGAGCTCGGCCCAAAGTGACGTCTGTTGTTCCTCCTGCTCATCCACAAGTGTGTGCTGCACCTCTACAATCGCCTTCAAGTCATTTTCTGCTGCCGCCAGCTTGGCTTGTATCTCAGCAAGAGCAGCCTTGTAAGACTAAATCAGGGCCTAAAAAGTAAAATAATGAAAGTGCTCAGCATTTAATACTGATGGACGTAATTGTCAGTCCCACGTAGGTCTGACAAAACTCTTCCATAAACGATAAAATTCTTCTGGAACCACAAGGTTCACCCCGAAGCATTGAAGCTTGCTAAGAGGCCAAGCTCGTTGTGCAAACCAAGCTCACCACAACCAAGAGAGTTCAAAGTATTTCAGACGCATGCAACCCAATTTGGGTCTGAAAACTTTGAAAGGGGTCTAGTAGACACTAAAAATTTTGAGAAATGAAGAAGGGTCAAACCTCACTACAAGCACAACGAGGGTCGTCACAACGACAAACCTCGGCCTTAATTCATGAAGTTTGTCTTAGCTAAATAGGACAAACAACACCTCACCCCTCAGAAGACGAACTTCGTCATTGAAGACGCAGTTCACCTAGAAACGAAGTTCGTTATTGAAGACGAAGTTCACCAGAAACGAAGTTCGTCATTGAAGATGAAGTTCATCAAAAACGAAGTTCGTCATCGAAGATGAAGTTCGTCCAGAAATGAAGTTCGTCATTGAAGATGAAGTTCGTTGTTACCATTATTGATGAACCTCATGCATAGCTGTTATTGACGAACCTTGTCTGTCACCATTTTTAGATGCTATATTTAAGGAGGGTTAATGACCAATAACTCACCCATATAAGGAGAGTTAATGACTACTAACTCACCCATTTAAATGGGAGTTAATGACCACTAACTCGCTCATTTTAAGGGGAGTTAAAACCCATTAACTCACTCTATAATCCTCCCAAGCCTATAAATAGGCATGGCCAACATGAAACAAAAGGGGAGGAGGCGGAGGAAAGGTCTTTGCTATGGAGAAAAGAAAGAGAGAGAGATTCAGAGGCTATTCAAAAAGCCTATCTCTCCTCCATTCTCATTGATCCTCACAAATCATTATCATCGCCTAATCATTTGGCCTTATAGGTACTAAAAATGTCAAGAGACAAAAGATTATCGAAGCTCACTCAAACATGACGAGGTTCATCATAATAGCGAACCTCATCTAAGTCAAAGACGAAGCTCGCCACGTAGCGAGGCTCGTCATATTAAATGAAGTTTAGCCGTAACAGTCTTGAAGACCCAGTCAACCCACGTGGGCTAAATTCGGGGAGGCAGTTACGCCCCTCAACCCCACGATTAGCACTTCGGTTACGTGCTAAAGGCCTATAAATAGCCTCCAGTAGCTATGAAGAGGCCGAATGAGGAGATCAACTGGCAACTTGAGTCAAACTTTTGGATCATTGGGAATTCTAAGCAAAGCTTTTGTGCACAAGCCTAAGACCCGAACCTCGGTTCTTGAAGCCTAAGCCATCGCCGGAAGCCTTCGCGATCATGTTATGATCGTCAACGGGAAGCAAGCTCGACTCAAGCATTGAGTGAGGCATGCTTTCGCGACACAGAACCCATATTAAATAAAAGAGAAGTCAAATTAACCTTCTCTTCCTCTGTACTCGAGAGAGAGTGATTGTAAGGGATTCTTACCAAGTGATAGAATCCATTCTTAAAATAAGAATCAATCGTATATTTTTTGACCCTACACTTAGTACTGTTCAGTTGACTCTTATATGTTAGAGACTCATTGTTATTATTTCAGTTTATTAGATGTATTCTCTTTTCGTTTGTTGGGACAACTTATAGTTACTATTAGATATCACTTCTTTACATTGTGTTTCCTTGTCAGCTCATCTTTGTTATATCTACTTGTACCCTTACTTCTTTACATCCAATATCTGCTAGAGTGATATCATTGGTGAAAGTGAAACATGTTTATGCATAGTGTTAGGTGCATGGCATGTTTGACATCTTTGGATTTACCTTGGACTGCAGCCATGTGTGAAATCAGGGGCGTCATACTATATAGCCATTTCTTGGCTTTGTCCTTAAAAGCAAATGGAATAAATCAAAGCTTGATCACATCCTCAAATAGTTCCCTAATCTTAATAATAAGACAAACTTCCTCAAACTCGGAGATAAAGATATAAGCGTCTTCGGTTTCATTTCCTAAGAATTTTGGAAGCATGTTTATGTAATGTGGCCTAAGCTCAAAATTAGTTCCATTGACTTCAAGTAGCTTAATGTAAGATACGATTACATTCCTAGTTGGATAACACATATCTTGAAGAACTGGCGGAATATGATTATCCATTTCTTCGAAAATTGGTTCAAAACGGATTAAACGATTGGTATTATCCCTAATCCAACCTTGCATACACCAAGGTAAATTATTTTTATTTTTTAATTTATTCAATTAAAAAATTCTAAGAAAAACAAAAGTTAGTTTTTTTATTTAAATAAAACTAATTTTTTTAAAAAGATAATGAGAAGGAGGAGAAAGACAAAAGAAAAACCTAACAAAAGTAAATCAATAGCAACCACTTGTGTCAATCGCTCCAAATTCTAGGGTTAAGCCTAAACTCAGTTAAACCAACTCCTAACTAAAAACTTCCTTAGTAAAAAGATTAAAGTTTACTCGGTCAGTATGCCAGGTAAGGATAGTACTAGAGGGAGATCAAAGATTAATTAAATATCTCGTTCCTTGTAGAGCGTTTTACACAACCCCTAAACCTTGCCTTAGACACAAACGGATTCAAGTAAACTTAAACCAATTCACTTAAGCATTTCTTGTTCCTTAATGAGCTCGAGTCCTTGTGGGCCAACGTCTAATGTGTTTTAAGAGGCTTGGGTTTGTGTTGTGAGGAATTAGTGATTTGTGGGCTAAGAAAAGAGTGATGAAATCTCTCACATTTATCTTGATTAAGGGGTATTGTCGTTAAGAATATTTTTAAGTGAGTGTCAAATCAAGATGCTCAAATCACTTTGGTGAATTCCTACTATTATATGCAATGATACCCTAGGAATTAAAAGCAACTACAAAAGGATGAAAAAAATAAAATCTTTTGGGAAAAATGTGTCCAGGCCCTAAAAATAGAAACTTCATGTGACGAGGCGCCTTGTAATTTCCCCTATGTGGATAAACCCCAAAAAGCAGCGTTTAATATTTCTAGGGCCCTCCAAGTCAGCGGTATACAAAAGAGTAATTATATTTTGTAAAAAACCCGAGTTTGCCCTTCTCCTTCGTCCCCAGCCGCTTCGTCCCCAGACGCTTCGTCACATCCCATTAAATGCATACTGTTGTAAGAAATGGAGGGAAATTTTCCCCCTTTTTCCCTCTATCATGAGCAATAACTATTTAGTTATCCATTACTCCTTCCTCAGACAAAAATTCTCTCCATTACTCTCTCTATATTACTCTTCTTTGTCCTAAGTTCGATCCATTACTCTTACCTCCACTTCATAATGGCTGAAAAGGACATCATCTGCATTGTCGCTTCAAGGAATAGAGCAGTATTCATGAAGATTAACTCTTTAACCACCATTCTGGATCTAAAATTTGATGTGTCAGAGAGGTTAGATCTTCCATATGATTCATTAAGTTTGTCATACAAGGATGAAATAAATGGAAGCTTCAAATTCCCCATTGAGAACGAAGATGATTTGTCGTCTATGGTGGAGCATTGCCATAACAGAGGATTAAAGGAGGTTCACATGCAAGCTTTCAAAGAAACAGACGATTCTTCAAAAGTACACAACAACTAGCAAGTTCGACAAGACATGTAGGGCCAAGGATTTTTTTTATGCTAAGACCAATATTCATGACGTTAATTGTTAAATAAGTTAGTGTTAGTTCATGCTAGTTCCATGTTTGGTGTAATTGGATTTTAGCTCTGATTTGAGCGTATGTTAGCTCTAATCGATTTCATGTCAGCTCTAACCACTGTAAATTCTAGTTACAGCTCTATGCATATGAAGGAGGTTCATGCTAGTTCTTGTTCTACGTGAATGTACTAAACATGTTAGTTCTAATAGATTTATTGTTAGCTATAATCTATTAATTGTTAGTTCCAATCGACTTATTGTTAGTTCTAATCGGTTTACTATTAGTTCTAGTTCAAATTTTGCGTAGTAGCCAATATGTTAGTTCTAAACGATTTCATGTTAGTTCTAATTGAAATCTTGTTAGTTCAATCGGATTCCACGACAGTTCTAAAATAAACAGTTGTTGTTTATGTTCTTTATATTTGCAGCGCTTCCAGCAGTATGAAGTCAAAAAGTATAGAGTGCGAAGGAATTAAGATTAGCTTTGCTATACTATTCCATGGCCAAAAAATTCGAGTACTTGTTTGCCAAGAATGAACCGAAGCGTATTCGAGTAGTTTGTCGTTTCAAGAAAGCCCAAAATTGCCCGTGGATGTTATTTGCCTCTCCAACACCAAATGAGAACAGACTTGAAATAAAAACCTTCGTGGACAAACACACTTGTGGGAATCATGGCAATAATGCAGGCAAATCTAGGGCCTCTCGACAATTCATTACGACCCAAGTACTACCCACGTTAAAAGTCCAGCCGGATGTAGGACCTATCGACGTACAAAAGGAGTTTCTAAGTTCGTATGGGCTTAGGGTCGGTTATAGTAAGATATGGTGGGGGTAAAGAAAGGGCACAAGAGCAACTATATGGTGATGTTCATGAGTCCTACGATCAATTACGATGGTAAAAGAAGATAATATCTACAATATACACACTAATTTCATTTATGTTAGGCTGTATATATTAGTTTGAAAAATGTTGATCCTAACACATAATCTTCAATGGTCTAGGTATGTAGAAGATGTTAAGAAGATAAACCCAGGTAGCTACATTCATGTTGAACAACACGAGGGGAGGTTTTCAAAGCTATTCATCTGCTATGCCGCCTGCATAAATGGTTTTTTGAATGGTTGTAGACCACTTATATTTATGGATGGTACTTTTTTGAAAGATCGATTTAAAGGTATACTCCTCAGTGCCGTGGCATATGATGGAAATCAGGGGATATTTCCATTAGCCTATTGCATTTGCGATCAAGAAAATAACGTCTACTGGAATTGGTTCTTACAAGGTTAGTTCTAACATGGGTCATGTTAGTTCTATTATAGTTCATGCTAGTTCTAACTCGTTCATTGTTAACTCTATTATAGGTTTATGGTCTATTCTCTACGAAATGCCAGATCCATACAACCCTCCACACAAGCTAGTTATAATATCTGATGCAGATAAGGGGATCAGAGAAGCAGTCAGAGAATATTTTCTGGATGCTATACACTCTAGATGTGTTTTGTATCTAGTTGAGAATTTCAGGATGAAGTTGAGGGATTTGGGTTTCAAGGCAAATGATACTCAGATTTTGGGGAATCTTTTGCAATCCGCTTGTTACAAATATACTAAAGCAGAATGGAATGACTATGTGGACGACATTAGACTGGCGGACCAACGAGCCTACAATATTGTCATGAACTACGCTATAGAGAACTGGGCTAACGCATTTTTTTCCCGGAATTAGGTAAGTTATAAGCTATTTCAGTTAAGATGTTTGCCTAATTAAATTAAACATGAATGCGTACACTGGAACTAACTATAAAACCCAGTTAGAACTAACATAGGCACTATACCCAACACTTGTAATAGAACATGCGTAATGGCCGTAGGTATGTAGGCATTAAAAATTGCCTATAGGTCTCCTCGAACGGTTCAGTGTTAAAGAGCGACGATGAACATCACTATCCGAGCCACAGGAGCCCAATTGACGTCGACGAACGACTGAAGTGAGTCGGCGAGCTACGTGAGCTTATAGGATTTCGGAACAACCAAGACCCGGACCAATCGGGAACCTGGCACTGTTCACAAAAAGGACAACGCCCCTCGTGCCTCGACCACTCTACAGATAATCCAACCACCAGAGTGGATCGAATTCTTCGTCAAGCGTCCAACGCACCCGGAATCACTCAAATCCGAGTTCGGATGAAGAATCTACGGGGAAAACAATCGAATGCACCTCAACGGGTCTCAGGAATTCCAAAACACCCCCAGGGGTGTCTCAGAAATTCCGAGACACCCTAAGGTGTCTCGGAAATCCCGAGACACCCTAGGGGTGTCTCGGAAATTCCGAGACACCCCAAGGTGTCTCGGAATTTCCGAGACACCCCCTAGGGTGTCTAGGCACCCTAGGGGCTCCCCCTAGCCTATAAATAGACCCCCTTGGCCTTTGTTTTAAAGGAGGATTTTTGGAGAGCCTTGGCGAAGCCCTGCTGCAGTGAAGAGTGGCCGTGCGCTTCAACAAGGAGAGGAGAGGTCTACATCAGCACCTTCATCACCCGTTCCCTCTTGGCCTTAGTATTAGCCCTTGGCGTTAATACTAAGAAGAGCTAATATCTCGCTTAGCCGAGATAGACGCTTAAAGCTTCTAGATCTCACGCGGATCGACGAAGTTCTGCTTCTATATCCCTTCGTGGATAGACGAAGCTCTACCCGATTTTCTCGGAGCGGATCTGATTGCCCGGTGATCCACGGATATCAACGTCCCCGTCACAGGCCAAAGACCCACGCAAGCAAGAGATGACAAACAGCTCTTGCGTTTGTTTGAAAGGAGTTGCATTTATTTTGTTTTCATTGTGTAAGAGTCTTATAAAAAGGCTATCTTTTTGTTTCATATGAAACGATTGAAGTTGTAATGAATGCACGCAATGAATACAGCAACGTTTTCAGCAAACAACCGCTGGCGACACACAGGGGAGCCAAGGGTAAAAAAAACATCGCTACCTGGACGCCCGTCGTGACGCAACCGGCCATCAAGATCGGTTGTGAATGAAGAATACGAGCTCGATCGACAACAGTTCAAAGAAGGCCTCTCTTCCTCCTCCTCCAGATCCGCCCCGCTCCAAAGGTACAGAAAGGTAACCTCTTTCATAAATGTTTGCAGGTCCTTTGGCTCGAAAATCCAAGACCCCGTTGCCGCCGCTGCACTTGCACCACGTGACGTCCCCGCGTCGTCCAACGTGGTCGAGATCGCAGATCCGGACTTCTCTTCCGCCGAGGAGATGGCTACTGAAGACGCTCCAGCATTATCAAGGAGAGCACGACAAAGACGGCGTCAAAGCCTTGCTCGTCTGCTGACCAAGGCTTTGGAGCCGATGGACGGAATCCGCTACAATGAAGATCTTAAGTCCAGACATCACCAAGAGCAACAACGACAAATGACCAGCCCCTCCTCCAAAGCAGAAATGAACAAATGGGTTCATGTCAAAAGAACCCGTTCCACTCTCGAGGAGCGAATCCAGAAGCGCCGCGCCTTGCGTGCGCATGCCCGAGCCTTGGTGCAAAAAGCACGAGAAATGCAAAAGGAAGAGGCAGGTAAGGGATCGCCGAGATCCAAACAAGTTTGGGTACCAAAGGCCAAATCAACGCCTAAGGCAAAAGCAGGCGACGTTGCTCTCAGGCCTTTGTCAACTTCAGATCCCGAACCTCCGATGAATCCCCACTGCAGCGGAGATTTCACCAAGCTTAGGATTCCTCTGGAGGATCGTATCGGCACTCTACCCGAGAATCGAGGAAAAGCGCTTGATAAGGAGAGCGGGAGATCATTGAACGAGCTGCAAGCCAACACCCGGACTGGGGGTTGTACGCGATCTCCTAACAAACGGATTTCTGCAACGGCCAGCTTGGCGGTGTGTGCGAAAGACCAAGAGCCCGTTAAGGTTTCACCCTCACGAAGGTGTGATCCCAAACGTGAGACTCCTGCAAAAGCCAACAAGGCAATGATTACTCAGAAGAAAACGCGTCGGACAGACGAACGCGTTATACCTGAGAACCCATGTGAGCAGCCGATAGGTTACTCCGACCGCAACGTCGATGAGTTGTACTATCAGGCTGGGGGTGTGGATGAATCTCGAAAGAGAAACACCCGGGAAGCGGATTCTCACTGTCCGTGTACCAAATTTATCAGGGCAGTATTATCAGCCTGTAGCTGCCCCAAGACCGCTCCACAGAGGGTCTCGATATCCGAGGGAATCTCCGATGGACCGACAAAGCCCAAGTCAAGGCGTTCCCACCAAAAAGGATCAATTGCTCGAGATGATGAACCCCTAGAAGTGACTATCAACATGGTCAACAAGGGAAAATCCCCAATCATTTCAGGTGGTTCCGACCCTAATTCCTCTCCAGGAAGCAGGGTCAATTCGGGAACAGCTCAGCTTCAGCTAGAAGCCGTCAGATGTGACGATTACTGTGGAGTCCATGAGGGAGTACATTCCGATGATGAACTCTCGGATTCCTATTCCGCTCTCGCTTCGGATGATACAACGTCTAGTGTAGGGCAAGCTCGAGAGGTGCTCATGGTCAATACAGATCAGATAGCCAAAATCATTGAAGAGGCCCTGACTAAGCAGAAGGAAATCTTCAAGTTCGAAATGGAAATGGCTATGCAGGAGATGAGACAAATGCACGACCAACAAATCCGAGCCTTGTCGAACCAGCTAGTGGAATCCAGCCGTCGCACCCAGAACGCCGCAATTGACAGCGATCCGGAAGTGGACGAAGTCGTCATGGCCGACGCACCGCCTAAGAATACCGGGGGTGGCCCCACTAAAGATAACAACGCTGGGGGTGGACCCACCAGTGATGATAACACTGGGGGTGGCCGTACCATTCCTCTCGACAATTGTCCAAAACAGGATATAGATCAGGCCGAAAGGATGAAGGATCTCGAAAGAAAAATCGACGCCCTGATGTCTGCTCGAGAGGTGAAGAAGACCGGTATTCCGTATCCTTACCCAAGAGAATGGGATTCGATCCCGTATCCGGCAAAGTTCAACCTAATCAACTTCACGCCGTTCAACGGGAAGGGCTCGCCCACTCAGCAGAGTAATCTCGGGCAACGAGCCTTTGATGGTTCGGTCATTCGTTGGCACCCTTCGCGGGCCTGCCTTCGATTGGTACCGCCGTCTCAAGCCCGGAAGCATCAACAGCTGGGAGGACTTGGAAGGCATGTTTCTCGCCCATTTCTTCGATGATGACACCGAGGTGTCGATCAGGACACTCTTCGACGAGAAACAAAAAGGCGGAGAGTCGGTGGATACCTTCATCAAACGCTTCCGCAATCAGGCAATGAACTGCAAAGATCCCGTCTCAGAGGAATTCATCTTGCAGACTTGTCAGAACAACTTGTCCATCAATATCTTGGACATTATGGGAATAGAGCCGCTCAATACCTGAAAAGAGTTGAAGGCTCGAGGAGAGCAGGCCGAACGGTTCCTCAAAAGGAAGAAAGCCGAGAGGAGCCAACTGATGGTTAGCCCTCTGGATTCGAGTCTCGTACCTCATGATGAAGGGGACACACCTGCAACGGTTATTGACGATAATCAAACGTCACAACAGCAGTCCTGGGAACAGCAGAATACTTCAGATCAAGAGGCCCAGGAAGAGTACTCGTTCAAAGACGAAGACGTTCCTCCCATCTTCGAGACCCTTCTTGAAAACAACAAGATCAAGCTGCCGCCCATCACGAATCAGGAGGAAGCTGACAATTCTGCAGACCCAAAATACTGTGCATACCACAGGAGGGTCGTTCATCCCACCAAGGACTGCTTTGCTCTTAAGAATAGCATTCAGACCTTGGTCGAAGCCGGCGTTATAACGCTAGGGTAAGCTAATTAAAAACGGCAAGACTCCGATAAGTATAAGAGTATAAACTGCTTCTTACCACTCCGAAGAGTATACGAGTATAAACTGCTTCTCAATCCTCCGACCGGTATAAGAGGTTAAACTGCTCCCTGATACTCCAAGAGGTATATGAGTCTAAACTATTTCCTACCATTGACGGGAAGTTCCTGGAGGATATTACACTAATATTCTTAAGGATAACCCGGCCAGATAACAAAGTCAAACCCAGTTCCAAGAGAGAAACTGGGGGTGGATTATCCAATGCATCGGGAAGTTCCCGAAAGAATACCACATGGGTATTCTTAGGGATAACCCAATCATTGTGGAATTGGTGAATAAAAAATTCATGTTCGAACCCTGAAGGTCAGAATGTCTCTTCTTATTCCCTAACTCTTATGAGTTATTTTTGTGAGAAGAGATCCAATCCTCTGATAGGTTAATCTTTCCTCACCAAACCATCCGCTGATCAAATTAAACGACAGGGGATCCACCAACGTTTCCATTTGCCCGTCGTTGGCATTTCTCAGACTTAACATGCTAGGTCCTAAACGCCTAGCATTAAAAGCCTCCCTGTGAGTGATAATGCGAGTTGGCACTGTCTTTGTTACCCGTATTCCACTTTCTTTGCTTTCTGGTCAAACCTGTAAAAGTTAGGACCAAAGCCACAATCCCCTCTCGATTCCCCCAATGAACGAGAGATCCACTTTCAAATCGAGTGACCAATCCTATAAAAGTTAGGGTCGTTCGAATCTTTCCGATTCTCGGAGTGGAGATCCCACTCTTAGTTTCATCCTTCCGGATTCTGGGGGTGGAGATCCCACCTCGAGTTTCCTTTCCAGCTGTAGA